CCCCCTGTGTTCTCCTCTTCTTCTCCCCCCATGTTCTCCTCTTCTTCTCCCCCGTGTTCTCCTCTTCTTCTCCCCCCGTCCCTCCCTGTAATCTATTCTTCTCACCCCTCCCTCCTGTAATCTCTTATTCTCCCCGTAATCTTCTCTTCTTCTCCCCCTCCTGTAATCTTCTCTTCTTCTCCCCACAATCTCTTTTCTCCCCTCCTGTAATCTTCTCTTCTTCTCCCGTAATCTTCTCTTCTTCTCCCCCTCCCTCCTGTAATCTTCTCTTCTTCTCCCCCTCCCTGTAATCTCTTCTTCTCCCCCCTCCCTGTAATCTTCTCTTCTTCTCCCCAATCCTGTAATCTTCTCTTCTTCTTCCCCTCCTGCAATCTTCTCTTCTCCCCCCATAATCTTCTCTTCTTCCCCTCCTGTAATCTCTTCTTCTCCCCAGTAATCTTCTCTTCTTCTTCCCCCCCTCATATGTCCTTCTTCTCTCCCCGTAATCTTCTCTTCTTCTCCCCCCACCCCTGTTTTCCTCACCTCCCCTTCACTGAGTGTGCACTTCCTGTCAGTCCGGCCGGGTTGCGGACTGGAGAGGAGCTCGGCCACGCTACAGGGAAGGAGAGGTGAGGAGAGAGGCAGCCGCCTGAGCACTCTCTATAGATCGCTCAGGCGGCTGCAGCATTTAAAGGGCCGGCGATAGGGGCGCAGGGTGCCCCATGCTATATGGCGCCCTAGGCGGCTGCCTAGTTCGCCTTATAGGAAGCGCCGGCCCTCTTCCTGTCCTAATGTGTTTTATACGCCACCTCCTATAGAATGTAAGCTCGTTTTAGCAGGGTCCTCTTCAACCTATCGTTCCTTTAAGTTTTCTTGTAATTGTCCTTTTTATAGTTAAATCCCCCCTCTCATAATATTGGCGCTGTTGGCGCTACATAAATGGCAATAATAATAATAATAATAATAGTTTATATATATATATAGAAAGAGACATTGAAATCATAAATATATAGCTTGCAGCAGAATAGTGATAGTGGGAACCTTCTGATATCTGAATAAGCAAAGTCAAAAAATCCTAACCTGAATCCCGTTATGGGTAGCAACAGGTGACATGTTTGTGATAGAAAGAACAGTAAAAGCATGGAATTATCGTCTGGCTTATTTAGTATTTTTTTCCTAGGTGAGGTGTTTTTAAATAAAACTATTACAATCTGTGAGACTTGAAATTGCTGTATAGTGAATGAGCGAGTGCGCTGGATTGTGTATTTTGTATGTTGTATAAATTGGCCCCAGCAGCACCCTATAATGTATGTGCGTTCCGGTGAGTGCAGCCCTCTTGGTTTCATTTATATATTTGGGAGTCCAGGCCAACTCCTTGACTTGTGCATAGGTGAGGTGTTTTTAAATAAAATTATTACAATCTGTACGATTTAAAAATCATTGTTTAGTGAGCTCGCTGGATTTTGTATATTGCTTATTTAGTAGCCATACCTAGAGTTCAAGAAGGCTATTGTCCGAGGAATCAAACAAATGAAAGCCTCTTCTTTCACATTGGATTTTATCTGCTATCAAAATCGATATATTGCTACATAAAGTTTCCTAATGTATATCTTCTGTAATCTGCATCCGTATACTCTGTACACTGTGGCGTCATATCGAAGTTTATTTTTGATAGACATGAGACGTTATCGCTAGTCTTGTATAGGCCTGTATAACGCAGAAAGAATTATTATTCACTGTCATTACTAAGGCTATTTACTGTCTAGCTTAGTAGACACATGTAGAAATGTACAAGGTCCAAATAGTACAGATTGTTGCAGCTGTGTGACATATGCCTTGAATGACCTCTCGAAAAATGAATAACGTTCTTAATCTAATTACAAACAGCACAATTATTTTAGTATAGTTCTATTGCTGTACATGCAGGAGTGTACAATCATATCCCGACTATGGCCATACACATAGGATGCAAGCTTTGTATGACGGGTAGCAGGTATGTTGGCGTGAGTGTGTTAGCGTTATAGAAATACACACAAAAAAACAAAACACTGATATGAAAACAAATATCCAAACGGAACAAGGCCACATATCATATTGTATCCAGAGGAGTCTCAGGGATATCTGAATACATTGTGGATATAGGCACCCATAAAAAACTCTACGTGGTTGTAGATATGTAGGCAATTATAAACTGATAAATCAATGCTGCCCCTTAATATTCCCTTGTCTTATGCCTTGTTATACAAATTGTCCATCATGCTTATTGAATTCTGATTGAGAATTCTACCTACCTCAGTCCATTTTCCCAAGAAAAGAAACAAATTCCATATTATTTTACTTTGGGGTGTACCTTGTTATTTAGAGAAAGAATGTGTATATTTACTTGGGACAGAGCAGAGCAGCTGTAGATAGAATTCTGTGGAATCCCTAGCGCTGTCCTCGGAGTACTTTTTTTTTTAGTTTTTTTTCAAGATATGTACTTGTTTACAAAAACAAAATAACTCCACATTAATGACCAGGATCACTTTGGGTGGTGTCTGTGTGTCCACAGATGTGCCACACCCCGTTCACATCAGCCGGCAACATCTCTCCAATACCGCGCATCGCATTGAGTAAACATGCACACTGATTGTTAATCTTTGCAGTAAAATGTTTACTCAAAACTAAGACATTCAGCAAACCTTTCAAAACTATCTATGTAATATATTTATTTTCATTCGTCCATCTTCTTATTTTGCAGTAACGTTTCAGAAATGTGGCTTATTTATTTAGCAGTAAATATTATGGCGAGAATGCGCGGGTTAGCAGAAATAAGGATTTATCAAATAGTAAGGGGCTTTCTGTCAGTGTTATTATTAGAAAATACCTCGAGAATGACTACAAACTAATGGCTTTGAAACTAGAGGTCGAGTCCACCAGCAAGACCTCATCAGATGTGAAACAAATCTATCTCTGCCAGTAAGGAGCACGCTGGGTGCAAGATGGCCACGTGACTGATACATGTGACTGCCAGGTGTAAGTTAATACACTGCTGTAAAATTAAGTTAAGAAGATAGAGGCTGCATATTTGAGTTGCCTCACTCTGCAAACTAAGAAAGCAGGATAATGTGATTTTATTTTTGCATGTTTTCCTACTTCTTCTGTCTTCTGAATCTTTCCACACCCACTGCATGGGGACACATATCTAACCAATCAGTGTCCTATCCCTAGGAATGCTGGAAAAGTGCATTGGGCATGCCTATTAGATTTACACATGTGCAGTTCAAAGATCTCTTTACCTTGCGACATCCTGAAGAGGAGAAGAGAAGGAGTTTGATCAGTGTGATCATGCAGAGCAGGCTCTGATGTCGGGTTTCTCTCTCCTGCTACTGCACAATTGTGTCCTGTTCTGTAAAAAGTAGACTGGTCTCAGACTGAGCTGGGTGCGTAAGAGGGAGAGGCTGAAGAAACTCCTCTAGCTGTGAGGTGAGCCCAAAGATACAACCTGACCAAGTTTATAGTAAGTTTATAAATGTTTATAACATACTTTTCAAAATGTTTCTTGATTTCTTTTGGTTTGTGTATTTGTTTAAAAGTGTTTGCTTGCTGGTTTTAAAAAATAATTGTCAAGTGACAATATTGACACAGCATGCCACTTAAAGTACCCCTGCTACCAAGGACAATATTCAGAATATTTTACTGAACATCAAAGAGCTCTTCTCTGTCCATGGAGGAATTACATACCCTAACAGGTCGCGTGAAAGCCACAGAGAAGGACACTTTTGACCTGCACATAAGCTGGGCATATACCCGCAATTTAGGTATCACACAGGTGAGTCACACTGTCACTGTGTCAATGGTTACCAAATTAAAAAACAAAAACACACTGGAGCAGATGCACTTTCAATAAAACATTCGGCACCAAAAATGGTTGAGTAACTCTAAGCTGTACTTACTTTTTGTTCAATATTATCAACAAGATTATCAAAAGTGTTCAAACAGAAAGAAATGTAAAGTAAAATAGTGTTTTTATTCCCTGTTCAGTGAATTGTTCTCTGTTCAGCGAGGACTCACAGACGCCAGTGTAATGCAATTAGTTGAATTTTTTTTAAAAACACCTTTCCTGTAGCTCAATCAAGGAAAGGTGCTGGCAAGTGTACAAATGGAACTTTAGAACTTTGTTTTTCTCACGTCCGGAGAGTATTTTCATTGTAAAGACAGGTACATTAAACAACTGATTTTTACTGCACTGTACAGCTCTTTAAAATAACATAAAATGTACACCGCACCCCTGCTACGGCAGATCTAACCACCCACGGCAAATAAGCCAAAATACTCCCAAAGGATAAAGCCTACAGCTGTCCTGTGGAGGACAACAAATACAGCTTTATCAAAAAGATAGGTAAAGAGATTAAAGGACCATTAAAAAAATGGTTAAGAAACACAGGTTTTAAAGCTAATGATATCATCTCATAACACGCCTTCAGTCCCTTCAAATCCTGGTTTCACCTTAAAGGACCACTCTAGGCACCCAGACCACTTCAGCTTAAAGGACCACTATAGTGCCAGGAAAACATACTCGTTTTCCTGGCACTATAGTGCCCTGAGGGTGCCCCCACCCTCAGGGACCCCCTCCCGCCCGGCTCTGGAAGGGGGAAAGGGGTAAAACTTACCTTTTTCCAGCGCTGGGCGGGGAGCTCTCACTCTCCCACAGCCTCCAGTAGTGCGGCTGAATCTGGCAGCGGCAAGAGCGCTGCATTCATCGGTCGCATAGGAAAGCATTATGAATGCTTTCCCTATGGGGAGCTGGCGTGCTCTCACTGTGAAAATCACAGTGAGAAGCACGCAAGCGCCTCTAGCGGCTGTCAATGAGACAGCCGCTAGAGGCTTTGGGGGAAGGCTTAACCCATTGATAAACCCTAGCTGGACCTGGCACCCAGACCACTGGGTTAACCCATTTTTTTTTATAAACACGCCGCTAGAGGCGCTTGCGTGATTCAAATCACAGTGAGAACACGCAAGCGTCCATAGGAAAGCATTGTAAATGCTTTCCTATGAGACCGTCTGAATGCGCACGCAGCTCTTGCCGCGCGTGCGCATTCAGCCGAAAGGTAGGAGAGGAGGAGGATCGGAGGCGGAGAGCTCCCCGCCCGGCGCTGGAGAAAGGTAATTTTTAACCCCTTTCCTCTCCCCAGAGCCTGGCGGGAGGGGGACCCTGCGGGAGGTTGGTCCTTTAACTTCGATGGAAACAAACTGCCGAGAGCGGTTAGAATTTCACAGATATACCATTAGGGCTGGGAGAGCTGGCCATGTACTCCACGCCAGCACTCATGGCGCTGCTAATTGGTTTCTGTAGGAGTGAAGTCACTCAGAGCTTGCTTAGTGCTGCATCGGTTTATATGAACGGGAGAGCACTGACTGCCTGATAATGGTTCATCTACTTCTTTGATGCTCCAGCATAAGGACCAAGAAGGAAATGCCTCTGTTAGGTATAAACTGAATAT